CATACATACATACATACATACATACATACATATATATATACACACACACACACACACACACACACACATACATATACACAAATAAAACCTCCACCCCCACTGGAGAAGAAGGAAAACAAAGCCTTTCTAACAAAAATGTATCGTCAAGAGAAGCAAATTTCAATGTTGGCTAAGCTGGAAAATGTATGCCTATAGGACTTATACTAATCTTCAGTCTGTTGACTCTTTGTCAACAGATGGGTAGCATACTTCAAAATCAGTTTTCTGGAAGTGCAGTTAGTCATTGCATGGATCAGTCTTCTAGTCTTTCAAAAGTGTTTTTCTTAATAATTTTGTTACTGTATAAACTGTTCTCCTGGTTCTGCTCACTTCATTCTGAATTGGTATCTCTGAAACTGCTATTCTCACGATTTCTTATGGCACAATAATATTCCACTATATTCATAGACACATAGGTGGTAGAAAGGATAGAGGGCTGGAGTTCAAATCGTCTTTCAAATACTAGCTGTGTTATCCTGGGTAAATCATTTAATTTCTATCTGCCTCTTCCTCATCTTGTAAACCTTGAAGTACTTAAGTGCTAGTAAAAAACCAAACCAACCATAATTTGTCTACCAATTTCCCACTAGACCAGCACTCTTTAAGTTTCCAGTTCTTTACTACTACTACTACTACTACTACTACTACTACTACTACTACTACTACTACTACTACTACTACTACTACTACTGAAAAAAAAAGATAGCTATAAATATTTTTGCCCATATGAGTCTTTTTCTTCTTTCTTTGATACATTTGGGGTATAGACCAAGTAGTGGTATAAGTGAGAAAAAAGGATATACATGGTTTAGTGATTTTTGGTGCATAGCTCCACAGTGCTTTTCAGAATGGCTGGACCAATTCACAGATTCATCAACAGCGTATTAGTATGCTTTTTTTTCCCACTGTCCCACCCAAAACTGCTATTTCCCATTTTTGTCATCTTTACCAATCTGATGAGTGTGAGGTAGGGCCTCACAGCTTCCTTATTTTAATTTCTCTATTAATGATTTGGCACTTTTCCCCATATGTTTTTTGATAGCTTAGAGTTCTTTCTTTGAAAATTGTTTCTGTCTTTTGATCATTTATCAATTGGGTAATGGCTTTTGCTTAGATAGGAGGCCTTCATCAGAGAAACTTACTGCAAAGTCTTTTTCTCAGTTGCTTTTTTCCCTTCTAATTTTAACTACATAGGTTCAGTCTAAGCAAAAATGTTTTAATTTTACATAACTGAAACTGTCTTTTATCTTCTATGATGCTTTCTATCCACTGCTTGGTCATGAATTGTTGATAATCTCTTTCTTGCTCCTCTAATTCGCTTATGATATCACTATGCCTAATCACGTGCTGACCTGGAGTTTATCTTAGCATACGGAATGAGATGTTGGTCAACGCCCAATTCTAACAGATTGCTTTCTAGTTTTACCAGAAGGTTTTTTTCCCCCCCAAAAGTGAGTCCTTACCCAGGAAATAAGATCTTCGGGTTTACCCAAAGACTGCCTATAGGCAGCTAGATGGGGCAATGGATAAAGGGCTGGGCCTGGAGTCAGGAAGACCTGAGTTCTAATCCAGCTTCAGCATTCAATAGCTGTGCGATCTTGGTCAAATTACTTCATCTCTATTTGCCTCAATTTCCTTGACTGTAAAGTGGAGATAATTCACCTACCTCAGAGGGTTGTTGCAAGGCTCAAATGAGATGTTTGCAAAGCTCTCGGCACAGTGACAGCCACATAAGTAGTATACATGCTTATTCCCTTCTCTTCTCATCCCCACCAAACGCTATGGTTCTATGATTGTTTGCTTCTGTGTCCTGTGTACTCAGTCTGTTCCACTGATCAACCTTGCTGTTTTTTAACCACTGCTGAACTGTTTTAGTGATCACTGCTTGGTAGTGTAGTTTAAGACCTGGTATTGCTAGATCCCCTTTCCTTGCTACTTTTTCCCACACTTCCTTTGAGATTCCTGACCTTTCATTCATCTGGATCTATTTTGTTATTTTTTTCTAGCTTTAAAAAGTAAACCTTTGGTAGTCTGATTGGATGATACTACATAAGTAAATTAATTTAGGCAGTACTGTCAATACTCAATACTTCTCCTAATGAAGTTTTTGCCTAAATTATTTTCTGTTGAACCAAATGGCCCCTGTTTTAATTTGGGGATACTTGTCATCCCAGAAGAATATAAGCTCCTTCAAAGGCTGGAGCTTTTTTGGATTGTCACTGGAGCGTTAGCACATAGTATAGTATAGTACAGGTGAGAGGCAGTGAAGAAAGAGGGATGTGGGAAAGCTAACGTGTCCAGAGAAGGGCAACCAGAACAGTGGACAGCCTTGAGTACACATCGCATGAGGATCAGCTAAAGGAACTGGACATTTTCATTCCAAAGGAGAAACTCATCCAGGGCAAGAGAGCTCCCTTCAAGTATCTGAAAAGCTGTCATACAGATGATAAATTAGTTTTGTTCTATTTGGTCTCCAAGGTGAGAATACGGAGTGATGGGTAGAAGTTGCAGTGAGACCAAATGAAGGCTGATGTAAGGAAAACATTCTTAAGATTCCCCTCATTGGCGGTTTTCAAGCAAACATCCCAAAACACTGAAGTGTGATACAGTGGAAATTCTTTTTTGGAGTACGAATTGAACCAGGTGGCTTTGGGGCTACCTTTCAACTCTGAAGCTATGATTTTGTAAATGAGCATTTGGTAAATTTATTAAATTTAATTTAGTTGTTAGTCCCATTAGCTATTCAATAACAGACACTGACAGCTATTCAATTCCCAGAGATCCTTCTCTATATTATGAGGAGATACCATCCAAAATTGTGAAAAAAAAAGTTACTTTACATTAGTGAGGTAATCTAAGGCATAAATATCCAAAGGCATTAATTATACAAAAACGTCCCCATCCCCTGTGCCTACCAGTCCTTCTTCTGATTATTAATATCAAATGAGACAAGAAACGGGGCGGGGTGGGGGAGAGGGCGCAATGCACTTGCTAAAGTATTTAACATGGAGAAAATCCTGCATAGATTCTCTAAAGATGGTCCTTCAGATGTTCCTATCTGTAGGTGCCACTGTGCTCACACAGCTCAATTTAAGTTGCTCTGCATAATTACTCAACAGAGTCCAACCTGGCTATCCACACATGAAAGACAAAGTAGATGAAGAATGCCTATTGTTCAGACTATGATATGCAAGTGGACAGAAAACCTAGAGATGTGAAAACCTTTGGTGAAGAAGAGTGTTGGGGCAGTAGCACAAAGAATGTTATCAGATATTCTGTTTTGCCACAGAAGGAATGGTCATGTTAGAAGAGAGAGAAAAACAGACATCTTGTATGCTCACCTTTTTACATGCTATGAGATCTAGAGGAAAGCTCTCAGGTTGTTGTGTAGGTCCCCAAAGGACAATTGGGGTAAGGAAGAAATGAACAAGAGTTTTACAGGATAAGATTGTATAGGATCTGCAGCAGAGGAGAGAGTAGCAAAATCCATGCTGTCTCATCTAATAAATACAAAGCTTTGAAGAATCAAAATATATACCACAGTAATACTTAGTAGCATCAAATGAATCAAGTACAAATGATGTGAGGTGATACTTTTTCCTGATTCTTTATAGTATTCTTTATAGTTTTCCCCTTGTAGTGGCTAAAGTACGAGCAATGGGTATATAGTTGAATTTCCACAGACACTAAACTACACAGGGATGGCTACATATAAAGCAATTACATTGATTTCCATATGCCCTAAGAAATAAGAAGTCTTAATAATTTGTAGTCAAGCAGTACTATCATAACTTAAAAATGACATATTTGTATTAATACTGAGACAATGAAAAAATAATGACAAGAATGCTTTACCTGTCCCTTCCCTGCCCTATCCCCAACAACCGCGGCTTGTGAAAATACAGGAGAGAAGTTATTTCATGTCATGACTATCTACCTATTTAAAGAAAAATCAGGCTGATGAGAACAATGAACACGGCTCACCAAGAATAAATATAGTAGGGGCAGCTAGGTGGCACAGTGGATAGAACTCCAGCCTTGGAGTCAGGAAGACTTGAGTTCAAATTAGGCCTCAGACACTTGACAACTTACTAGCTGTGTGACCCTGGGCAAGTTACTTAATCCTGATTGTCTCGCCACAAAGATTTAAAAAAAAAAAAGAAATACAGTAAAATCCCATTACTTCAGGAATGTCAGGAACCAAAAAAAGGTAGGGAATGGGAAGGGCAAAGCACTTCTGAAGTAATATGCTTGAATTATTCAGCATTTATTAACAACAAAAAAAAAGACCCAGTGATGTTGTTCAAATTATTCTGAATCAATATTGGTTTAATGAGATTTTACTGTATTTTAAGCTCTTCCTGATAACTAGCAAATCACAGCATCTGACTTCTGTCAGCACACTGTCATATGAAAATGAACACTTTATAAACATTTTCCAAAGAGAAGAAAACAGTGAGATTAAATTGGTATTTGGACAAGTCCTTATGAACTTTCTCCCCTTTGTGTCTTCTCCTTCTCAATCAAGGAAAATTAATAGTGGTTACATTTGTCTATACAAGCAAGTTAACAGGAAGACACTGTGGCTTTTACCTGATAGAAAGCCAGATAAATATCACTTCTTGCTAACTAGGTTGGTGTTTCTCCAAGAACTTATACTTGTCTGAAACAAACAGAATGATGTATGGTTCACTCAAGCAACAATTAAGTTACATACATGTTTCTCTTTCTGAAAAGGCTGACTAGCTACCAGGGAAAATACATATCCTATCTGACTGACGACACAAAATCTACGTTCCACGGTGACTCAAGGGCCACTCGAGCACGAAGATCTACGATCCCATTAATCTGCAGCACAAATTTGATTTCCAAATTCTACAAATCATATAAAAATGAAAAGAAGCTTAATAGTCTGATAATCGCCTCCTTGTTAACTACTAGGTTAAAAAAAAATTAAGTACCTGCTGCTGTCGGTGCCGCCTCATGTGTGCAAACTGAGACAGCATAAGCTGACGATCAAGCAATTCCATTCTTTGCTGTCTCTGAATGTCTACTGTTGCTCCCATTCCAATTCGGATTTCATTGGCTGGTTCCGAAGAAGAGAAGATGGGTTCAAGTGTCCAAGAAAACAACTTTGCCATCCAGCGGGGTATGCAAAGAACCTGATGAACTTTTAATACACTACTGGTATAACACATACCAGCAATCTAAAAAAACAAAAATAAAAACAAAAACCAACAAAATTGTTAAAATACAATAAAATTTACAAAAACGTACAAATAGAGGAATCTTTTAAATGTCTAAATGTCGAATAGACACAGAACTGAAAATGGCATTCTTATATATCAGACTATTTCTTTTCCTGAGATTCAAAGGAGTCAACAAGAAGAGAAGTCATTTAAAAATATAAGCCATTATACATAAAGTTACTACTATTTTAGCTAATTTGTAATCTCCTTTGGGGAGGAGAGAGTGAGGCTGGTGACTGCACAACCCTGCTTCACTTAAATCCAATTCACTTGCAAGTCACGACATCTCCTTCCTGATGCCATGGTCCTCTTAAAGAATGAAGGACAAACAAAGATCTGTGAGCAGTAGTAGTTGCCCCACTGGGGACCCAACTGGCCAGTTCCAGTTGAGCAACACCGCTCCTTCCTTCCTTGCTTTCTTCCTTCCCTCCTCTCCTTCTGTCCACATCGGGAATCATGACCCTTAACTAGTGCTCTGCCCAAAGCAATATAAATCTTGATCGCTGAAACCTAGTAAGATATCTTGGGGTTTTTGTCCTAGATTTGTTTTTATGGACCACACCTTAAACCCAAATCACTCTGGCCCTCATTGATTAGCCAACAATAGGTCCCATCCCAAGCCTCATTTGGTCACTTTTTGGATTCTGATGGCTCAGAGTCAGTATGAACAACAATTGTTTCCATTTTGGCCAGAAACTCTGAGGGTCTTCCCTTCCCAGACTGATTTTATTTTATTGACTGGGTAAAAGAAGTCATTTTTTGCATCATTTTTTTACCTAGCCTTAATCATTGAATGGGTGTTGCCTCAGACAAACTGAGATCTGGGAAAGACCTTAGCTTAAAAAGGCCAAGGCCTCCCACTGCATCTAGGGCCATTTGTACTCGTCCTGATCTATATCTTGCCACTGGACCGAGATGGCTCCTGAGGAAAGAGTGAGGCTGCTGACTTCACAGCCCTGCCTCACTTAATTCCAATTTACTTGCAAATCATGACCATCTCCTCCCTGATGTCATGGTCCTCTTCTAGAATAAAGGATAACAACAACAACAATTTCTTTTAAGAAAGTGACTGTTCTATTTAGCCACTCTTTCCTTCAGTTATTAATGCATTATATAAAAGGCACTTAATTAATATTTGGCAAATGTACTAATGTATATTAACAAACTCTATCAAATGGGTGAATATTTATTGTTATTATTAACAATAATAGCAGATCACTTTTACATAGGACTTCAAAGTTTGCAAAGGTGATTTATTATTTCATTTGATTTTCATAACAAACCTATGAAATAGATTCTATTATTATTCCCTTTTTACAAATGAGAAAACTGAGGCTCATAGATATTCTTTTTTAAAAAACTGTCACAATCAGATAATATTTTATTTTTTCCTTCAATTACATGTAAAAACATTTTTAACATTTGAGTTTTGTTTTTTTAGGTTTAGGTTTTGATTTTCAAATTCTATCCTCTCCCTTCTTGAGAAGGTAAACAATCTGATATAGGTTACACATGTACAATCATATCAAACATATTTCCATACTGAGTCCCAGTTCTTAAGTATCTGAAGTGGAATTTGAATGCAAGTTTTCCAGATTCTAGGTCCAGTACTCTTATTCATTCTGCTGCGCTGCCTCTTAGTATGTGATTAGGAGTACAAACTAAGAAAATATCAAATTAACTCAGTAAAGCAAAGTAATTCGTCAATTCTTAAGATGGAAAAAGGAAGTTCTCACTCTTCATTTTAAGTACTAGATAGAAAAAACATGAAAACAATTTCTTTATTTAAGAAAAACCCACCAAAATAAAAATATTTTCCTATCACAAGCACTTTCACATTCTATTAATCCTTGGCAAATGGCCAAACACAGACATCAATGCTAGAAAACATTTTAGCTTAATCATCTGGGTGGAGCACATAACTGCTAACAAAAACCACTGATATATATTAAGAGGTTGTACAGTGACAGAAAAGTCACCCTTTCTTTAAAACCAAAGATACTTTATTGTCTTTATCCAGTGGTAAGATTTTTAAAAAAAAATCAAAACATCAATATGATACACTTTGATTTTTCTCTATTTAATTTCCATACCACACCAAAATGATAAAAGATAACAGCTGACATCTCCCTCCAAATGATCTCAATAAGAATTTAAAAAAACAGAAACAGCTGATATTTATATAGCACTTTAAAGTTAATAAAATGCTTAACAGTCATTATCTTACCTGATCCTCATAACATTTTTGAAACAGATACTACAGATATATTAATTCCACTTGCCTGATGGTGCATCCTCTGGATGTCCAAAGACCACCCCAGGGAACTTGATCCAATTGGTTACAGAACTCTAATCTACCTTCCCCTCCCCCACACCCCCCCAGGTTGTCCTTATAAGAGTGTGAGTGCAAACTCATCTGGCAGCCTCACTCATGATTCACATCCTATCTAGCTGTCCACACTGGGCATCTTCTTGACATCCATCTTGTTTCCCATAGACATATCCCACTCCCACCCCTGCCCACACCAGATAAGATTTCCTGGCCATTCCCTTATTTATATTGTCTGTAGGTGTCTTAAGGGCAGGAATTGTTTCACTTTTGTATCTGTAGCACTTAGCAAAGTGTTTGGCACGTCATACATGATTAATAAATGATTTTCATTCATACATTCCCTCATGTTTTCTCTGGAGCCAAGACTGGTCATTATAAATTCACAATTTAGCTTTATTTGATCTTATTTTTATTTGTATTATTGTTGTCATTGTTTATGTGGTTTTCCTGGTTATGCTTACTATATTCTGCATAGAAGTCTTCCCATACTTCTCTGAATTTCTCTTATTTGTTGTTTCTTGGAGTAGAATAATATTTCATGGTATTCATATACTATAATTTGTCAAGCTATTCCCCAGCTGATATCCATCACTTTCCTGGTTTTTTTTGCTACCAGAAAAAGTATTGCAATGAATATTTTGGTATATATGGATCAGCAATTCCTTTCTGCCTTTGACCTCTCTGGAGGTACATGCCTACCTACCAGTTGGATCTCTGAGCCAAATGTATGAATAAACTAGTGTCTTTTCTTGCATGATTGCAATTTTTCTTCCAGAATGTACCTGCCCATTCACAGCTCTCCCAACAGCACATTAATGTATTTCAGCAGCCCTTCCAACATTGTATCATCTGCTATCTTTATCAGTTTGGTACCAGGGTAACCTCCCGGGCTAGTGCAGTTGTAATTCCCTCTCCAACTACCTTGTACTTAACCGTTTCATATTTATTCTGTGTACATTTATATATGTCCTTGTTGTCTCTCTGGTTGGAATTATATTGTAATACAAGCTTATTGTGATTAACAATTATTTCATTCATTGTTTTTTGTATCTCTAGCACCTAGTACAATGCCTGGCACAGAGTCAGCCCTTAGTAAATACCTGTTGATTTACAAATTTGGAAAGTGTGAGGCAAAACCTGAAAGCTATTTTAATTAAAATCTCTCTTATTATTACTAACGTGGAACAATCTTTTATATAGTTCTTTATAGTTTTATTTTGAAAGTTATTTGTTCATAGGCTTTGACCACTTAACTACTAAAAAAATGGCTCTAAGGGTCTTGCCATTACACATTGTCTAGAAACACATATTGCTATTTACAAACAAACTCTCATTTCATATTATGGCCTTCTTTTTGTCCACTTTCACAAAGCTTTATCTCTCTGAGCATTAATTACATTAACCAACTGGAATGTAGTATAAGAAGGCAGCCAGGATAGTGGGGGAAATTAAAATCATGCCATGTAAAGATCAGTTGAAATGAGAGGGAAAAGATTAAATTTAAGAGATATGTGATTACTGACTATTTTATAATTCCTTTTTTTTTTAAGACATTTGGGGTTAAGTGACTTGCCCAGGGTCACACAGCTAGTAAGTGTCAAGTGTTTGGTCTGAAGCCGGATTTGAACTCAGGTCTTTCCACTGTGCCACCTAGCCGCCCCAATTACTATTTTAAAGACTGCCATGTAGGAGACAGATTGGACTTGGTCCTAAAGGACAGAAATAGGGATTAATGGCTGGTTGTTAAAAGGAGAAACACTGTGGCCCAGTATGAAGAAAAGAACTATGGAAACTAGAGTTCTCTAAAACTGAAATGAACTACTTTAGGAATTAATAAGTCCCCCATAACAAGTGACCTTTAGTAGAGGAGAGATGACCATGTATCATGCTTCATTTAGGAAGGGATTGGACTAAAAGACTGTAAAGGATGGTTTTTAGAAATTCAAAGTGCTCAGTTTATATTTTCCAGATCAAAGTGGTTTTCTTACTATGCCCTAGCTCATTATTCATACTAGATTTGAACTTACCTAACATTTCCTTCATTTCCTGCTCTGATGAAAAAACAGTTCTGCAGTTTAGGAACACAATTTTAACTGTTTTCTAGCACAATTATGCTCAGTATATTTGTACTTATTTTTAAGCAGGATAATCAAAATGTCTCTAAACAAAAGCTCAAAACAAAAGACAACTAGTGATGACTAGCAGTGGAAAATACAGATCAAATCACAACAGGGAGATTTGGGTCAGAGCATAAGAATAAGTATTTTTATTCTCACAGGACCTATTTTTTACTGACCACAAAACTGAAAACAAAAATTAAGCAGTACGACACAAAAGCCTGAATGTCATCATGAAAAGCTACTTAAAGATTCAATGTTACTACTAAAAAGGAAAGCAAAAGAGTTGTTACGTAAATATGCTTTCTTTTCCTTAGTGTGCTTTATCCTATGTCCCAGCCTAAAAATACTTTATTGACTTTGGATGTATTCCTGGTTTCTTACTATAAAGTTCAGTCAAAAAAAAAAAAGAGGAGGGGGAAAAGGAGAAGGCAGTGGTGGAAGGAAGAAAGGAAGGGAAGTAGGAAGTAAAGAAGATTATTTTTGTTTCAATGTTGTATGATGTGTGA